CGGTGCACTCCCACCACTAGATTGCGCGGACCTCCCTCGGCTTGCGCGAAGGGGCAGAACTCCCGGACCCCTGTGCCGCTGTCTGGGTGCAGGGCTACCTCCGGCGCCACACAATGAACACGGCCCCCCCCATGCCTATCCCCCCTGTAGTTGCCCCCGATTTGGAGGCCATCTGGGCCACCCAGAAATTATCCTGGCGCAAGACCCGGTACCGCTTTCGGTGGGGCTCCCTATGGGGCCACAAACCGTGTGAGGGGTGTGCCAAAAGGGGCGTCGGGCGCATGCGGTCTGTGCCACTCGGGCCTTCGGTGGAACTCCATATGGGGCCAGGAACTGTTTGAGGGGTGTGCCGAAATGGGCGTCGGGCGCATGCGGCCTGTGCCACTGGGGCCTTCGGTGGAACTCCCGATGGGGCCACGAACCGTGTGAGGGGTGTGCCAAAATGGGCGTCGGGCGCATGCGGTCTGTGCCACTCGGGCCTTCGGTGGAACTCCATATGGGGCCAGGAACTGTTTGAGGGGTGTGCCGAAATGGGCGTCGGGCGCATGCGGCCTGTGCCACTGGTGCCTTCGGTGGAGCTCCCCATGGTGCCAGGAACCGTGTGAGGGGTGTGCCGAAATGGTGGACATGCGAGGCATGAGATGGGAGGAGGGAGAAGGAGGACAGGAGGAGAGGAGGAGAGGAGACGCGGGGGGCTGTCTCTTCAAAACGAGGAGCCAACACCACTGGATGATTGGGACAAAAAGCTGGGGGTCACCTCGGGTCAAGGCGCCTCCGCTGGTGCCTCGGGCCAGGGCCAGAGCCTGCCGCGTGGGAGGCGCCAGCGTCCCCAGAACGCCCTCTGGGAAGCGTAGCCGATGGAGCACACCCTGCTGAAACGACTTCCTCCCTTTTTTACGATAATCGGCCCGTGTCGTAAGGACGCACGATAAGGATTCAAGGGCCTCGGAGGGCCGCTTCGAAGCTCTTCGAGCGGGGCGCGGCCAGCGAAAGCGGCCAAGGATGGGTCGAGGAGACAATGATGCAGGGGTGCCCTTGGGAAGGTTGGTCATCTTTACTATGCGGGTTGACTGCAGCTCCTTCTGTCCATTTTGTCCATCCTGTCTGGTCTTCTCTCCTCCTCCCTCCCTCCTGCTGTCGCACTGCTGCTGGCCGCTGCCGCTTAGGGCCCTTGAGCCGCTCTGTGCGGGAAGATCGGGGGCGTCCAAGAGGGGAGGGCGCAAATCATGGCCAGCGGCATGTGCGCGGCCCAGGCGGGGGGCTAGTCATCACCCCCCTCTTTGCCGCCCCCGAGGAGAGGGACCGCTCCCTTCGCGAGCCCTGCGGGGCATCACCGCCGAGCTCTCGCGCTGGATGGCTTTCGCACGAGACCTCCTCGCCCCGGGCCCCCAAAGCTTAGAGGAACACCTGGAAGCCAGGGCCGCCTCCGAGAGATCCGGCGCCGCAGGGAAATCTTATAACATCGCGGGCAGTTGCCACCGGAGCCTGAACCCCATCTTCCTGCAGCATTTCCAGAGCCTGCTTCCCCCTCCTGATTCCCTCCTCCTCCTCCTCCTCATTCTCCTCCTCCTCCTCCTCCTCCTCGGATCGATCCTCTGGAGATGGTCCTGGGGCCCGACACGGGCAGGAAGGCACAAGGTGAAGACAACGAAGCGCACCCCCGGTACCGTTTTCTTTCCTGTGTCGTAACGTGGGCCTCGGAGGTCTGGACCCTTTCCTGGGGATCGGCTTTTCACACACACAAACACACACACACGCACACGCATCTATCTATCTATCTATCTATCTATCTATATATATATATATATATATATATATAGCGGAGGTGAGGGGGTGAGATCGAAGTGGAACGGAGAGCCCCCCTACGGGGAAATCGATTTCGGTTTCGTGTTTGTGCGTGCCGTGCGTGCGGGCGAGGCGAAGCTGCGTGGGCGGGCGAGAGAAAATCTCCTGTGGCTGAAGCGCGGCCGGACCAAATGATTCTCCACCGGGCGGCCGGTGGCCCGCGGTGTCCCGCCGGTGTCCCGCGAAAGTCCCGTGTGGCTGAGGCGCGGCCGGACCAAATGATTCCCTTCCGGGCGGCCCGTGGCCCGCGGTGTCCCGCCGGTGTCCCGCGAAAGTCCCGCGGTGTCCCGCGGTGCCCCGCGGTGTCCCGCCGGTGTACCGCGGTGTCCCGCGATGATGATGATGATGATGATGATGATGATGATGATGATGATGATGATGATGATGATGATGATGATGATGATGATGGTGATGATGATGATGATGATGAGATGATGATGATGATGGTGATGATGGTGATGATGATACTGCTGCTGATGATGATGATGATGATGACGTCGATGATGATGATGATGATGGTGATGCTGCTGCTGATGATGATGATGAGGACGATGATGATGACGATGATGATGATGATGATGATGATGATGATGATATGATGATGATGGTGTCCCCATGATGATGATGATGATGATGATGATGTCGATGATGATGATGATGACGATGATGATGCTGATGGTGTCCCGATGATGAGGATGATGATGATCATGATGATTATGTTGATGATCATGACGATGACGATGATGGTGTCCCGATGGTGATGAGTATGATGATGTTGATGTTGATGATGCTGATTATGGTTGTGTCCCGATGATGATGATCTTGATGATGATGATGAGGTTGATGATGATTATGGCGTCCCGATGATGATGATGATTATTATGATGGTGATTGTGATGATGTCGATGATGATGGCGTCCCGATGGTGATGATGATGATGATGTTGATGCTGATGTTGTTAATGATGATGATGGTGCCCCGATAATGACGACGATGATGATGCTGATGATGATGTTGACGATGCTGCTGCTGATGATGATGATGATGTCGATGATGAGGATGAGATGATGATGATGGTGTTCCGATGATGATGATGATGATGATGATGATGATGATGATGATGATGATGATGCTAACGATGGTGATCATGATGGTGTCCCGATGATGATGCTGCTGATGATGATGATGATGATGATGATGATGGCGATGACTGTGTCGCGATGCTGCTGATGGTGATGATTATGATGTTGATTGTGAAGATGGTGATGATGATGATGATGGTGGTGGTGTCCCGATGATGTTGATGACCGTGATGATGATGATGATGATGTTGGTGTTGATGATGAGGACGGTGTCCCGATTATGATGATGTTGGTGATGATGATGTTGATGCTGATGTTGTTAATGATGATGACGATGATGACGTTGATTGTGAGAGCGGTTGTGATATCGATAGTGAAATCGATAGTGAGACCGAATGTGATATCGATTGTGAGATCGATTGTGAGATCGATTGTCAAATCAATTGTGAGATAGATCGAGTGAGATCGATTGTGAGATCGATCGAGGGAGATCGATCGAGCGATACCGATACTGAGATCGATAGTGAGATCGATAGTGAAACTGATCGAGTGAGACGTTGGTTCCTCCCCCCCCCGAACCTCCTTATCACCCGAAGGGTGGTCGTATAGGTATATATATATATACAAGACTGCAGTGGCGCTTCGCGCCATGCACCTTGGTCCTTGACGTTTGGTTTGCAGGCGGAATAGCAGGAAGGTCAAACCGACAATTTAGCGATAACTCCTGGTTGCCTTTTTCTGGCATCGCCGCTATAATGATGTTATTCGTTATCCTTCCTCCATGCTTCTTTTCCCTTATTTTCGCCATGCCCTGCGCATTCTCCCCATTCTCCTCAGCTCTTTTTTGCGGAGGCTCCTCCTTGGAGAGCCTCTAGGGGCCTCACAAAAGTTGTATCAGGCTTTCTTAAGGCCTTCTGGAGACCTCCTGGGCGTATTCTGGGGGCCTCCGGGGGCTTCCTCGGGCCACCCTGCCTCCAACCGCGGTCTCCCTGAACGACCGAATTACGATTTGGAATTCTTCGGAGGGTGTCTTTGGGCCATCTTGGGCCGCTATGGGGCTCTCTGAGAGCCATCTTGGACCCGTGTTGTGCCGTTTTGGGGCTCTCTTGGACTGCCTGGAAGCCCTTTCGGATGGTTGTGGGGCGATTTTGGAGCCTCCCAGGCAGCTTCGGACGCCCAGAAGACCGCCGTCTTGGAGCGTCGTGAAGCCGAAAAGAGGAGAACCCTAAAATTCACCAAAAACCTGCAGAAAATCAATGATGTTTGCCTCGGGGTGCCTTCTTGGGAGTGCTCTTGGAGGCCTCTTTGGGGCCGTCCTGGAGGCCTCTTGGGCCATCTTGAGGTCACGTCGGTCACTCTTGGAGCGCTTTTGTGCTGTCGTGGGGGTCTCTGGGACGTCTCCGATGACCCCCCTGATCGCCCTAGGTGTGCTGGGAAGGCCTGGCAAAACGCCATGTGAGGCCCGGTGGCCGCTTCGAACCTCCGATGCTGTGGTGCTTTCCTTCTTCCTTTATTTTTTTGCATGCGGCCCCCCCGGGAGCTCTGGACCTCTTCTCCGGGACCAGCTCCTCGCCCTGGCCAGTCTTTGGCTGCTTCTGGGGCCTGGCGAGCGCCCCCAGAAGCCCGAACCCAAGACGAGCATCCGTCCTGCTTGTCTGATGGGCGCGTTTTCCACCACCACCACCATAAGCTGGAGGGGGGAAGGAGGAGGACGAGGAGGAGGACGACGAAGAAGAGGAGGAGGAGGAGGAGAAAGAGGACCCCCTCCCCCTCCAACCTATGGTGGTGGTGGTGGAAACCGAGCCCGTCATTGTCTCAACACGCTGCAGGCCCGGGGGCAGGAGGCCTCCTCGGCACGTCCCCCAAACCACGCCCCCACCGTATTCCAGCGGCTTGACTGCACTTGCCGTCGCTCGGACGTCCGTTTCCCGTGCATCTTTCGGCTTCGTGCGCGCTCTTCTTGCTCGACGCTCCAGGAGGGTCCTCAAGGGCCCTCGCCGAGAACAAAATATAGACGCGCGCCCGAGCGATGCCGGGTGCAGCTCCGGCCGCGCCGCGCGCTCGCGCCGCGGCCTGCCGCGTGGCGCGAGCCCTGCGGCTGCCCCGCAGCCACGCGGCGAGCAGCTGGGCCAGCCGCGCGGGCCGCCGGCTGTGGCGCGCGTGCCACTCCGAGAGCCTCGGCGCGCCGGAGGGGGCCCGCGCGCGAAGCACGCCGGGCGCGCAGAGGGACCCCGCGGGCCCGGCGCCGCGCCCGCGGGCCGGCGCGGCGGGCTCCGAGGGCGCGCTGCACCCAGAGCACCCTGCCATCTCCTCCCGATCGCTCGGGCGTCCATTCCCTGTGCTTTTCTCTCGGCTTCGTGCGTGGCTTTCTCGCCGAATGATCAGGGAGCTTCCGTAAGAATCCCCGCCGAGAAAGAGTGCACGCGTCCGAGCGATACCAAATCTCTTGGGAGGCCGCTTCTCACCTCCGCCCGACTGTAGAAGCGAGCACCGCTAGAAAGGAGCACGGTCAGAAAGGAACGACGTGCACTCCGCGGCCCCAGCGCACGGCACTCCCTCCACGCCCGCCGGCCCGAGCGCTCCACGCCGCGGCCCCGAGGCGCCGACCGCTTCCCCAGGGGGGGGGGGGAACTTTTCGCCGAGGAGGAGGAGGAGGAGGAGGAGGAGGAGGAGGAGAGGAGGAGGAGGAGGAGGAGGAGGAGGAGGAGGAGGAGGAGGAGGAGGAGGAGCAGGAGGAGGAGGAGAGGAGGAGGAGGGAGGAGGAGGAGGAGGAGGAGGAGGAGGAGGAGGAGGAGGGAGGAGGAGGAGGAGGAGGAGGAGGAGGAGGAGGAGGAAGGATGACCGAGGGACGAGGGGGCAGCTTCTCGCCCCAGGGGCCCGCGCTCTCGATCGCCCCCCGCGAGAGGCCCGACGACGAGGGGTCCCGAGGGCCGAGAGCGGGAGGGGAGCGCGGCACGCCACCCGGGAAGAGCCCGCGCCTCGTCGGAGCGCTGGGCCGTTGGGAGCGGCAGCCTCTCCGCGCCTCCGCGCGAGGCTCCTCCTCCTCCCTCCTCCCTCCCCTCCTCCCTCCTCCCTCCTCCTCCTCCTCCCCCTCCTCCTCCTCCCCCTCCTCCCCCTCCCAGCAGGAGGGTGGGCTCGCCGAGGATTCTCCACGCTGGCGCCCCGTGCCTGCCCGTGGGCGCCTCGTGGGCGCCGGCAGGCTCTTCCGCGCCTCGCGCGGGCAGCGCGGCTCGCACGGCACGGCTCGCACCGCACGGCTCACGCGGCACGGCATGGCCGCGGAGTCCCTTCTATCGGGGAGACGTAAGACCCGGGTACGGGGGACTCGGGTTGGCCCGACGAGGTCGTCAAAAAAATGACGAGGCCAGACATCCCACGAAACTCCTCCTCGTCAAAATCCGAGGCGCGGTCGTCAAAAAACGATGGCGAACCCGAGTCCTGGCAAACCCGGGTCTTACGCTCCCCCGATTCTAGCGGTGCTCGCTTCTAATCGTTCCTGACCCCCTAGTGGCCAGGAAGAGGCCCAGGGTGGAACAAGCAGAAATGCGACAGGATCTTTGCCCCCCCCCCCCCCCCAGAAATATCGAAGGACTCTCGAACACTCAGGAATGAACCATGGGCAGGTCTTCTGCGCCCCCCCCCCTCATCACGTCCCGTTGCGTGCATCGCCCCCCCGGCCCCCCCTCCTGTGACTCCGAGGCTGCTCAATTCGCTCGCACATCGCTCGATGGGTGCAACCGTCGGCATGTGCCTACAGAGAGAGCCTTCTGCAGCCATCCGGGTCTGGACCAAATCAGACGCCCATCATGTTGTGGCGATGATGCATTGTCGATCCTGACTCGAAACTCATGGGAACCATTCGCACATCGTCCTGTGAGAAAGAGCTTCTCAACCGCATTTGCTCATATTATTGCTGTATGTATCTCGCTCTATCGAACCCAACATATCCACCATGCCATCGACTACGATACCACTCTACACCTTTTCGGAATTAAGAGCGGAAGATCCGTGGACAACGCGTTCCGCTTACATAGCCAGCGAGACGAAACGGCAACCCACTTCGAGAATTCCTATACCGATCTCCAACTCCAACAAATGGTGACCACTACAGAGCAGGGACGCAGCAGGATTCCAGATGGACCGGTGACGCCTTTACGCTGGAGAGCTTCGACAAGAAAATCACGCTGTAGGTCCTAGGCACCAAGGCAGAGGATCGCATCTACCCAGGTCCCCGTCTGGTGCAGGTCATGGACGAGGGCTCCCAGAAGTGGCGGGAGGCAAATAAGGTCTCGCTCGACGATCCCGTCAAGGCTGATGCGCAGAGAGGGTTGTGACGGCGCAGAAAGGCATTCGTGGCAGTTTACCATGCAGGAAACAGTGACTGGATGGAGGGACTTCATGAGAGGAAAATTCAAACAGGTCAGTGAAGGACCAAACCGTGGAGTATCTTGGCTTGGCATCCGTCTCAGCAAAATTTGCAAGGCTCTCCACGCAATCTGTCGGGATGTGCTCTCGACAAACTTCATGCATGAATCTATTCTCGGTCTCATTCTTTTGGACGGCACCGGTTTCGATCCCTCCGAGCAAGCTGCACTCTTGGCCACTTCAGGTGCGAAAAACAATTCGTATGTCTACACGGACGTGAAGAAGGCCCTGTCAGAGCAGTGGTCGGAGGAGCAGCTGGCCGCGAGAGACAAACAACAAAAAAACTACCGTGCCAAGTAAAACACCAACGCCCTCTCCGAGGATCCTGGCCAGGCCAAGGAGCTGACCGCGTTCACGGAAGGTGTACGACGAGGCCTACTACGACGGCTTCGGTGAGGCGGCCGACATGTCTAAGACAGCCATGGCCGCCGCCGAAGACCTCACGTCAGCTACCTGGGGAGACGAGGGCCAGTCGAACACCGACTAGGATCGGATCGAGGATGCTCTTGCAGCTGCTGTGTCGCAGCCAGAGGCCAATGATTGGACCAAGCCGACGGCGTACGCAGCCTCCTGGACGCTTGTCGAAGCAAAGAAACTGATCAACGAGGTGCAGGACGCGAGGGACTACTTTCCTGTTTCTGGACTGGGCGCGTACGACGCGCTGCCGTCTCAACCGGCCCGTGGAAGAAGCACGCGTCGCGCCAGGAACCGTGGCGGTCCTCCCCGAAGAAGGGGAGGAGGCAGAAGTGAAGAACGAGGGCGAGGGCCTGCTGTGTGGCGAATCGGGCCATCGTCCACGCGAGTGCCCGGATCGGGGCAGCGCCGGCGGCCGGACGGACCGCGACCGCGCCTGCAGCAGCTTCGCAGGAATCCTCGGCCAGTTCATCGGCACAGTGGACGACGAGCAGCGCCCAGAGGAGGAGCTCGAGACCTCCGAAGCCCGACTTCGGTAATTCCTTTGTGGCCTTCAGTATGGAACAGAGCACGGAGTATGCCTTGTCGGATGGAGGTGCTGCTCGATCGGTCGGCGGAGCCGAGCAGCTCGAGCACATCAATGACATGCTCAAAGACCTCGGCGCGGAGACGGATGTGACCGCGACCAAGATGCCGGGTTTCTCCTTCGCTGGTGGTGACCGGGCGGAGGCGCCTTCGCGAGTCAAGCTCAAGGTCAAGGGCCTGGACGACGAACCGGTGGAGATCTACGTCTTGGATCGTCCTTCTCCAATCCTGCTGGGCGTCGATACGTTGACGACGTTTGGTTTGGTCAATGACTATGATAACTATATATATAAATGTATACACATATTCACGTCGCTTCCAGAAGGAGTTCCAAAAGGTGCTTCCCTCAGGGCACTTGGCCCTGCGTCTGACGCCAGATGGTTCCAGAGCTGCCTCCTCCAGCTCGGAGTAAGGACAACACCCTGGCCATGACTCATGGAACATGCAACAGTCGTCGTCTATATCCGTCATGACCAGGGGCCTGTCATAAGTCGAGAAGCTCCCCAAAGTACTCCAGCAACTCCTCAAGGTCAGCATCTCCCTAAAGCCCTGCCATCCTGAACGTAGTGAAGCTATGATAAGTCCGATTCTGAATAATCTCTGGGAGCAGGCAAGCTGGAAGGAAAGAGTCACGCTACCCCGTTATGCCTGGGTAAAGTGCTCACAAGCCGTGTGCCGCATACATCGTCGAGCTCGCTCTCAGAGGTGTGCCCCTAAGACTTTGGAGGTATTCAAACATCCGAACTTTCTGGAAAACGCGTTGCCTACAATCCAGAACGTGGGGAGCCGACCGTGACTATCGATCAAATCGAAGCTCGTAAACCTGCCAGACAGGTCGAGCAATCTCGTTGGGTTGGAATCTCGGTGTGTCCCAGAAGCGTTGTGGCTCGAACGTCTAACGGCATGAGTCGCCTATCATTCGACGACTCCCTCGACCTGATCGGAGCGCAGGGAGGTCGCGCTCGTGCTGTCACTGCCACCAGGCCCGCCGAGGGTCGAACGCTTACATGGACCGGATCAAGAGGAAGAATTGCGGAGAGATAGTTTTCAATTTCGACGCCCGAGCTGGGTACGGCAAACATGGGCACAATGCCCAACAACAGATGTTGTCCCAAACCAACAGCGGCCGCTGTTGGGCAGGCGGCCTTCTGTCTCGAATGGACACAGGCCGCGGCGGCGTGGACCGCGAGTCCTCTTCAAAATAAGCAGGAACTGCTGTTGGGCATTGTGCCCATTCTTTCCGTGCCCATCTCGTTCGTACAGACTCAAGCATGCCAATCATCGGGAGCGGCCAAGAGGGGGGTGTCCAAGAGGGGGGGGTGCAAGTCATGACCGGCGGCATGTGCGCGGCCCAGCGGGGGGGCCAGGGACGCAATGAAACGAGAAGAGGCGCCATGAAATCTGGGGAAATATCACGGCCCCCGCCATGATATCCACAACCCCCTAGAGTCATCACCCCCCTCCTTTCCGCCCCCGAAATCAGAAGATAATGGGACGAACCTCTGCTCCTACCGCACGGCTCTCGCGGGGCTTCCCGGAGCCTCCAGAACGCAGGAGGAGGAGGAGGAGGAGGAGGAGGAGGAGGAGGAGAGGAGGAGGAGGAGGAGGAGGAGGAGGAGGAGGGAGGAGGAGGAGGGAGGAGGGAGGAGGGAGGAGGGAGGAGGGAGGGAGGGGGAGGGAGGAGGGAGGAGGAGGAGGAGGAGGAGGAGGAGGAGGAGGAGGAGGAGGAGGAGGAGGAGGAGGAGGAGGAGGAGGAGGAGGAGGAGGGGGAGGGAGGAGGAGGAGGAGGAGGAGGAGGAGGAGGAGGAGGAGGAGGAGGAGGAGGAGGAGGAGAGGAGGAGGAGGAGGTGGAGGAGGAGGGAGGAGGAGGAGGAGGAGGAGGA